GGGAATATCGACAACAAGAGCAGGATACAATGTTCCTTTGCAAAATTGCTTACCGTCTTCTCTGCTGGCTGCGATATACTCATCGAATCAGCTCCGCTACTAGCCAAAGCACCCAAGCCCAGAGAGCTGTGGCTAGCGAATGGCACAGTCAATTATCTGCTGCTCGCTCCTTGTTCCTAGCTCGCAGGAATTAATGGTGCAGGTTGAATTTCACCTCCAGACCTTCTCTCTCGTGAAATATTGTAGCCAAATACAGATATTGAATGAGAATTGGGCAGCAATTAGATTCAGGATATCATTGAGAGTTTATTCTGAAGCCTTGTTGCAAAGCAGCTCCTCGTGCTTCATTCTCGAGACATCTTTAAGGCTTTCTTTCCCAGCAGTATTTGCCAAAGTTAGGCGACTTTGCCCACTAAACCTGAAACTGATTTTTCTTCTCCGTGCTGGCCAACCAAGGCTACATCTATTAGTCAGACGCTCCTACACCTATCCACTAGAAAGACTGGGCTCTATTTTCGGGAAGATTCCACACCATACGAGATTGTTCTTGAGGCAGCTTGCACACTCAGTTCGTAGCTGCTCCAGTAGCTCGAATGGTGTATTTAACCTGAGAAGTCGTCACCCCTCTTCAGTACACAAAACGGTGGAAGAATTCAAATTTCAAAGATCGCCCTTTGGCTGACGAGTCATATGGGCTTTCTCAACATCCATCGATGGGTCCCCCTCAGAATGGTTCCCACCAACCCCTTCGACTCTTCCCACAAATCTCCACAAAAAGCCCTCCTCAAAAATCTCCTGTCTCCTCCTACCCACCAAATTCCGCGAAAGACTGCTTCGAACCTTGCACGCCTCTTACTTCCCACCAAACTCCGAGAAAGACCGCTTCGGACCTCTCACATCTCTTCCTTTCTTATCCGGACTTCAACAAAGTTTTGTTTGCTTGCCTTTGTTCAAGATGACGCATCCGAAATGAAGACTCCATAATCGCATTTACGAGTCCTCGAAGTCCGGCTACACCGAACAATAAGCAAACCGATGTTAAGACCCTTAGGTAAAGTACCTCAGAAGCATCACAGGAAGATATTGGGCTTAGTTTCAAGGGATAACTATTCGGGTTACATGAGCACTTTGTGGTTATGATATGGAGATTTGGGTGTTAATGAGTGAGATGTTAAAGAGTCAGGTGCTCAAGAGTGAATTGTTGAAGAGTGTGTGTTGAGTGTGTCGAGTGTGTGTTGAGTGTGTCGAGTGTGTCGAGTGCTACTGGTGCGTCAGGGAGGTATGAGGAAGGTGCTGAGGTAGTGTTGGCGAGACACTAGAATGACTATGTCAGAGGGCAATGCTAGAGTTGGAAAGGACTGGGTCGATTGCGCAAGTTCGAAATTGGTCGAAATTGGAGGACAAGTTCGATGACTGGAATACTCAACATACGTCAAAGACACTCCGACTGTTTTTGGGCAATTCCCCAAGCGTCATCCCCAACACCATCTCTATGCTCGAAATTAGCGGAAAGAAGACACATACAGCAGTTTACTGGGACACACTTTCAAGCTTTCAAACAACTTGATGTACACGAAATGGGACTATGTCTTTTCTGGGTTGTTAGTCTGGCGGTCGAGCAAACGCAGGTATCGGAGGGCTTGATCAACCCGTCGATGTGTAAATTCCTGTATCCCCTTGACCTCCAGCTGCCCTCAAGAGCAAGTCTCATTAGTGTGCACAGAAGTACCAGGAAATTCTTGGTACTTCCAGCTCATGCCTCGGCCAATCTCTCTCGGTATTCCTCGAAATTCAGAACTATGAAACCGTTCCCAAGGAGAAGCTCAAACGAACTTCTTGCTATCAGCTCTTGGTCCCGATTGAGAAACGGTATGGCAATGGAACTTGGAAGTTGCACAACGGAAATCTTTTTTGGGAAACTTCATCAGAACCACTAAACAGAGTGCACGAAAGGACTGATCACCCTTCTGTGAAGTATGCTCTGGGTCTGTTAGAAGGTGCATGCAACACTTGATAGATAATAATGAAACTCATCAGTGTCTTCTCTCTCTTCAATTCGTAAACTCTCCAGTGAAGTAATGTCCGATTCACGTGATAAGGTTCCAAGATTGTGGCCCTGTTCCACGTGACATACGACCACAAAATCGAGTTCCAGACCTGATAGAGTGCTACGTAGGAGTGAAGGATACAGCTTGGATGTATTGCAGAGAGAAGAATTTCACTCCTCTCCGCTGATCTTCCCAAATTTTCGTTTGCGTGAATATGATAGTTTCCATGTCAGAAAGGTGGTCCAGTCAAAGCTTTCCTCCTTCATCTGCTGGACCTGCTTCCAGGTTCGTTCATCAAGGTCAACCTCAGTAGAGCTGTAGTGTAATTTCTCCCCTCCAAAGTCCCTCCAAGATTTGGCAGCAAGTAATACCTCCTCCATGCGAGTCGACTCGGGAACCAGCGGATGACCATCGCGAATATGAGCCCAGTATCCGGAGAGCGATTTGAAGACCCCGATAGTTGGACAATGGTTACAATAAAACGTGGGACGGGCCTTTGGAAGATTCAGAGGATTTTCATTAGTAAGGGCACTTGAGTCAAGCTCAATGTCTGCAAATGACAGGGGGAGTTTGGTCTCTAGTGTCATGTAGGGGTGATCGGCAGGCTTTGCGATCAATGGACCTTCAGGAAGACCTCGAGATTGGCGAAAAACCCAGAGCGAGATCAAAATCGCCTCAAAAGTTGTCAGAGCAGCAAGCTATCACACCGTCAATTTCAAGATATCTAAAAATTGCATTGATACTCTGTACTTACTTGTAGCAGGCATGGATTATCTTTGTGCTTTGTACAATATTTCGGAACTGGAAGTCCTAATTGACGAATGTCCCCCGCAGTATTGCGACACCCTTTACGATCTTTATTCAGGATGGAAGCCTCGTATGTGGAATGATGTGGATTGATGCACAAAGACATGTGGCACAGATGTGAGCCTTCCATCGGCGGAAATGGACCATATCCGAGGAAGTTGTCAAACTCCAAGCCCGTGTGAGGGCTACTAAGGAACCAGGCAGCAGCCCGGACCCATGGCGTAGCGTGATCTAGCATTGAAAAGGTCTTTTCAAGGTCAAAAAATGCTTCCAAGAGGTATTGAAAGCAGAATAACATACCAAGCGAATACCATCTAACAACTTAAAGGCTTCATAATCAAAGTCAAGAAGACTTGTGGGATCGATTTCTGACCATAAAGATGGCACCATAACACAAGTTGATTGGTGATGAGCTGTGACCCCCCATCGAGACAAGATAACATCTTGCTGAGCCTCAAATCGTCTCCTGCCCTGCATGGTCATCCACTCAATGCCTTTGATCTGTCCACGAGTGCAACGCGATTGGGGTACTGCGTATTTTGGTAGAGTTGGAAGGCTCCATGAGGAAGACTCATTTTGCAATATAGGTACACTCTCTTCTAATGATGTGTCCGGAGTACGATAGACGAAACGATTTGCGGCTGCAGAACCCCTGGTTCTCGCTGATGCATCGGCTCCCTCGCTGATACTGAAGCCTTGAGAAAAATTGTTCCGACCTACGCAATACTCCATGGATCCTACACTTTTATTGATTGGAGCTGGGCTTGATGGTGATGCGATTGGGTGTTCGGTTGAGGATATCATAGTGCAATTTTGTGTAACTGCAGGCTCTTGGGTTTGCCCCTTACACAATTTTCTCCATTGAGAATGCCAGGAAAGCGCAGTGTGTCGTGAATTCTATATAAATTAGCCATGAACCTGATTAGGAGCAGCTGAGGAAACGTCGAATTCCATCGACCAAGCTCTTACAATTGATGCCAACTCTTCGAAAATGTTCGGTCGTGGTGGCAGACCTTCATCCTGTGCGCGCGAGACCCATTGGCGCAATACTTCATCGTCTTCTAGGGTGAAAGTGTTGCGCTTTCGTGTGGATTGTTTGTCCGTTTTGTCTTTGCTTGCAAGGCTTCCGATATTGTCATGTACATACCCGCTCTCATCCAATAACAGGCCGGCATGAGAGAGAAATCGCAGCCGCTTGATATCGTGTGCTTCCATAGAGATGAGGAGCTTCGCTTGGCCCAGAAAGTTGTGATGGTTATGGAAATGTAAGATGTCAAATTCTTGATATCTTAGTGAAATGAAACATGCAGATTGTGTTGCACACTATCCATGTATGAAAGGATATTTTGCTCTACCCACCAGAGGCCGACTAGTTGGATGACCTCATCCAACATATCATTTACACCGTGAACGGTTTTCAGCGTGTAGAAATACGAAAATGCGATATACGTGGCCCGGGAAGCGGGAAGGCCGCACATAAATTAGGGATATTATTTATAGTTAGTTTAGGGACCATGAGAACGTCAAAATCTATTAATGGAGTGAGAAACTATGGTTTATATTATCCTCGAAGCTAATGACTAGGTCCTACCTCTTTGATATCACGTTGAGTTAATGTATAGGCAGTTTGAGACGGTCTCAATGAGATTATGAGACCGCCCCAAGTTCTCTGCCCCACAATAGTAGCGGCTGATGCTGCATCATCATTATCCCCAAAGCCAATGACTAGATCTCACCTCTTTGAAAGTTATTCAATGCCTAAGAATATTGATTTCGCTGGTCAAGACCGCGGAAGAGTTCGTTGATATTGCAAAAGTTCAGAAACCCAATCACGAGTCCACAGGAGCATCCAAACATCACTAATATTAGTTTCCCCTCGATCTTGTCACTCATAGCTTATATTCTTAATGGCACTATGGCGCAAAAAATAAAAATAATTATTATGTTAACTACCTATAATGGCCTCTGGATGAAAGGTTTCCGTACTGCCACGATCCAAGCCCGCTCACGTGATGATAAGCTTCGCTAGGGAGCACGGGCTTTTTGGAAAGGTAATCATATCAGTAAATAAGAAATTTTGCGTCAACATTCATCAGCCCTGTAAGCGATTCTCCACTCCGCAAGCGCAATCAGCTACTAACAATTGCACAGCGTAGCTCAATGGTAGAGCGCGTCACTAGTAATGACGAGGTTGCCGGTTCGATTCCGTCCGAGGGCAAAAAGCCCTATAACTGCTATCGCGGTTCCTTCTTTTTGTCCTTTTTTTTTTTGGCCCTCCTGAAGAAGGTAGTGAACAAAAAAAAAAAATCCCCCCCTCTTACGAACTAGGCGCGCACTCGCCTGCTAGCAAGCCTGGTCAGCCCTATAAAATGTAGTTTCTAGCAGCTGCATTATCATTATCCGTATCAAGTTCACTTTTAATCTAGGTGCTTTATGGCCCAAACCATCCATCCAAATTGCCTCCAATGAATGGGTGTGTTTGATTCATTACTCCATGCCGTAATGCTAGCACCCAGCAGAGTTCCGAAGGGGCGGGAGTCTGCAGGTCCGCACATGACAGGCATTCCGCAAACAACACACCCTCTAAGAGCTTCCGCTTCAAGTTCCCAGTCAATTTCTTCTCCGTGTTAGATTCTTTTCCATTCAGACCGTCACTAAAGGAATTGAAATGGAAGTACGCACGTTCAAATCTCCAATGATCACCTGTTTCAATCATCCTCTCAGACATAAGTTCACACAACACACCTAACTTTTCTTGAAACCTTGCGTTTGCACGTTACTCTCAAACGCCCTTTCGATACCAGGCCACAGACCCAGGAGCTCAGGAAGAGATCCAGGTCAACGATTGTCGAAGCATGTCAGGCCAAACACCACCAGATGATGGTGCGCTCGGCCGCTTTTATGGTGATATACAAAGAGCATCTTCGCAAGGCCTATCATCGCTTCAAATTCGGATACTTTTGAAGCAGAAGTATGATTTTGACATCTCAACCAGTATTCTGGCAGATCAAATGCGCATTTGGGGACTTGTTTTTGGAAATACACAGGGAAGTGTTGCTTGCCCGATAGCTCCCCAAAGCAATGCATCTGCTGCCTTGCATCACACTGTCAGTATTCAATTAGGGGATCTACTTCGCTGCTAACCTTCCACAGCAAACTAAGGATAATTCTACGGAGAATTGTGATGGAATGGACCCAGAGTCCAACGAATATCTCGCCAGCGAAAGCGGAAGACCTGGCGGACTCGCCAACGTTGAAGATTCTCTGAATGATGTCCAGGATGGTACGGAAGCTCGAGCTGATAATCCGACTTGTGGTTCTTCTGACTTGGGGAAAATACAATCGAAAAATTTAATCAGAATTCGGAAATCTGAGGAGGAGGTCATTGAGCTCATTGCACTTCACCTAGCGTGCACCCGAGAATTGCACCACATGATGGGCAAAACGCCAACTCAACTTTCTTCGAGCACACTTCGGCGTGAATGGATTTCAAGCATTGACTTAGCTCAGGGAGAATGTGGTGTTGGAGGCAATTTGCTCGATCAATTTCACACTGGGCGTCTTTCCGGCCGTGTTCTTGCCCGCGCAACAGAGATTTGGAATGAGGTTCCAAATCAAAAGAAAGAGCGGCTGTGGGAGATGACGATTGCTCCTGCCCCAGTCTACAACCCTGAGTGGAACGATCTTCGAGAGGATCTCTTCAGATACCATGAACTTCGTCGCCGACATTTCGACTCTGCAAAACAAATAGAGAAGCAGCGCCACAACATCACAGGGTCGGGTCGCCCTCCCAACAGCTTATCCCAAGACGAGCAAAACAAAGTTTCAATTCTCAAGAAGGCTGAGAGGGAATTATGGGACACCATTTCCAACACGAAGTTCGAAACAGTCATTGTTCAGGAGATTGATCATTTATTATTGTCCTGTTTCACGGACGAGGTTCTTCCAGAGTTGGGTTATCCTGGAGGCGGCCTACAAGTTCATGCAGAAGCCATCAAATGGGTAATGAATCGCTATTCCTTTCAACCCAATTACGTTGATGGGCAAAAAGATGCGAATCCTTTCGAAAGTGTACGTGATGCGCAAGTGAAGCAACCCCCTCTTCTGGACCCATTCTTTTCGAAGCAGATTCCTGTCTTTAGCACAGTATTATCGTGTGGATCCTTGGCCGAACACGACTCTCGTTTGACTCAACGAATACCGTTGGTGTTGGCTGAGATTGACATTGATCTCTTCAAGTCGAACTTGCAGGGCTTTCTAAACACGAAGACACGACTCGATCACTTGCAAGCAACCGCTCCACGAAAAACATCTGCTGGGTTTGAATACTCGAGCTTCAAAGCCGGTGAACTTTCGCACGCGGAATTACTCCATGATAATCTGGTCCACGCCCATAAATTGTTTGAGTTGCTCCAAAGCGATGAAGTATTCGACTACAATTCCTCCGTCATCCAAAAGACTTGGCTCCAGCTCATGGCTGTTCTCGCTATCTGTTACGGATGTACATCTGAGTCTGCTTTCTTTTTGACAACTATGGATAGACTGCTTAGCAAGTTGAGAGACGAAATTGGCAAGTATTCGTTATCGGAGGCCATTCAACGTTGCTAATCGTTTTGCAGGCTGCTCCACTAGTGTGCCATCAACAATGGAAAAATCTACGTTACAATTTCCCGACATTCTTCAATCCGTAGAACAGGAATTCTCAGCAGATGCCCCAAGTGAAGGTGGCCATTTACACCCTTCTCATCTCTACCGTCGTCATATGATCATATCTGAGACAGCCAAATTCATCCACGGCTGTGTAATTTCAGCTACCATTATTACGTGGAGGCTGTACACTGTTCAGGGCGGTATCAAAAAACGATTCGAGGGATTTTTCAAGTGGAACGATACATGTACTGAATGCGGGAAGCAGTTAACTCTGCCACAAGGCGAAATGCAGAAGGGCTGGATTGCCACTGGCATCAGGGATGTCAGGCACGGGAATGAAATGACTAGATCGGAGATTTCATCCAATCGAAAGAACGTTTATGGATGTCTTTCTGGGTTTTTTATCCCGACGAGTTGTTACAGCCACCACATTGGTTTATTTTTCTTCTATTTTGCATGTTTGTATCACAAGGAATGTAAACCTCACAGAGAGAAGCAGGTGACGGCCACTGGTGGTGAGGTTAAGGATGAGGATGAACTGTACTAGTTGCTTTGCCAAGTCACGTATGCTGGAACATAGAATTTGGTTGCATGATAGTAGCTGATAGATCAATTTTGTCTTTTCCTTTTGCAGATCATTCCTGTTACAATTCGTTCCTTTTGCTATCTACTCCATTTCATTACTGTGATTTTTCTCTCTCCAGTTCTGCTCGGATGCCTCCAAACATCCCAACTTGTATTCAGAAACTGTCGCTGAACTTCCCTCTCACTGCTTTACACGATGAGTCCCTGTGGAAAACTGTACAATAAGAGAGGAAGATGAGGATCAGCGCGGGGCTGGGATCTCGACATCGCAGCCAAATTGAAAGGCAGGGATAAATCGTATTCCGGTTGGTCGAAATAAAAGATCTTATCTTGGAAAGTCCAGAGCGTCCATCACATGTACCGATAGAGAACAACTCTCTTGATCTGTCTTGGAATAGCACTCTCGGATGTGGCAACGCTCGGAGACATTCGGAGTCGCTGCACAGAGGTCTGGCTTTCCAAAACACAGTGTACCATTTTTGGACATTTGCTGCATCTGTTGACGGCTTACCAATATGTGGTCGGCGCCAGTGGTGTCTCAGGGCAATACTAGTGAAAGCAACCGCATGTACGAAGGCCACTAACTCTCTGCACACCTCCTCTTGCAACCGAGGGTCTGTCTTACCATGGCTCTGGTGGGCATGTTGCGCTATCTTGGTCAGGATTCCTTCCAGTACTATGAACCAAATAACAGCTTCTGTAGAACCGCCTTCAATGGCAGCAAGCAACATCATCAATTTCTGCTCAAAGTTTCGGTGGTCTTGTGGGGTAAAATGGCACTCAACCGCCAGCATTTGCAATAGCCGTCGAACGTGCCACCAGTCATCATCTCGAATTGTTGAAGACCAGCCAATTTTGGGAGGGAGGTTCTCCAGACGAGGTGGGCGACTTGTGCAAGCCATCATTTTTCGACAGATTTTTTGATACCGTGTTCTCTCCTCTTCAGTGCGATCAGAGACTACTCTTTTGAAGTAAATAATTGCCTCATCAATAGTTATCCTCAGAGAATAGGAGCCTGAGGAAGAAGCGTCTTCGTGCAGTTTCTCAGGATCAGGTCCGTCAGGTCTCAGAGAGTTGTTGATACCGTCATTGCATTTGACATCGATTGCATGGAAAAGCATACAAGTTGGATCCCAAGTGGCCACTCCAAACCGAGCAGGAGAGAATCCTAACAAAGGTCCATTGGTTGGAACTCTCCAGTCGACAAATACCTTGGGCTGATTTGGAATTCTCAAACGAACCCGATCTGTAAGTAAAAGATACAATCTGGCATACTTATGTTCTTGACTTGTCAGGAGCTCTTTTTCAGGTCTGTCGCTCTCCTTGTTCGAATCGTTTATTGGGTTATCGTGACGATGGAGTGGTTCGCTTTTGGTTGCGGGTTTGGATTTGGATTTGGATTGCTTACTCTTTTGCTGATGCTCTTTGATCATCTCCCGATCGGTATCCTTCAATGGAGCCAAGGGTTCGGCTATCATCCATGGTTCCGTCCATTCCTCAAGTTCTGTGAGCACAGCATCTGCGAACTCGTTCAACACCGAATGTTTGCTTCCACTCAATGCATCAGCCAGGACTCTGCACTCCGGGAGATCATCCAGGGGCAAACGGGAAATGGCTTGTCGAATAACTTCATCTTGCTGCATCTCGTATAATTCCCGTCGAGCAGTGATCAACAAGGCGGCGATACACTGTGGTGGTGTTGTTGCTGGCTCGAGTGACAACCCAGCCTGCACCTCTTCTTCACCATACTCTTTGACTGCGACAGAGATTGCTTCTTCAATCAAACCCCACAGTGTCGAGTGAACCTTTTGCAGTATTTTCCGAGAAATTGAGTTGACAGCTTCCACCACTTTGCTTGCAGTGGCAACGCTGCCGTGGCCGTAGCTGCCTGGCAGTTTTTGTCCAAGAATCCATTTCGGGTCAAACAATCGTTCTGCTGACCAGAAGCAGCCTTTTCGCTGGTATTCTTTCACCATAAGGCCT